GGTCCCCCCCCCCCCCCCCCCCCCCGTGGGTTGCCCTAGGGACTGCCTCCCTGCCCACACCACCGCCACCACACACACGCACGCACACATGCACCACACGCCCTGCCTCTCCCTCGTGCCGCATCCACACGCGCGGTGCCCCCCTGCCCCCTGCCGCCTGCCGCCACTGCAGCACTACCAGACCGACTGGGAGGCGATCCTGGAGAGCCGCCCAGCCAGCTTCATCGCATCGGTGGCGCCCTGGATGTACCCGCCGGAGCTGTCCAGCAGCGGGGGCGGCAGCGCAGATGGCGGCGGCGGAGACGGCGGCGCAGAGGGAAGCGGTGCTGCCGGCGGCGGCGGCGGCGGCGGGGGCGGCGGGGCGGCGGGCGACGGCAGCGGTGACGGCGGGCCGGCAGGGGCGCCGCCGCCGCCCTGCACGCCGGTGGACCAGCTGCCAAAGGTGGGCGGGCAGGCAGGCGGGGTGCAGTGGTGTGGGTGCTGCGCTGCACTGTGCTCCCCCGCGTTGTCCTCTCGTGCCTGCCTTGCACGGGTTCCTCACGCGCGCTCTGGGCTGCCCCGCCACCCCGCCTGGCGCCAGGTCATCGAGGTGCTGCACACGATGAGGGCGCGCCTGGAGGCGCTCAACGGCGGCGACGTGCCCAGGATCTGACGGGGGGAGCGTAGCCATCCCAGGCAGCTGCAGGGTCACACTCAGGAGCGCTACTCTTGGCGCCGCAGTGCGCTGATCTTGCACTGCCAGCAAGAGCCATACGCTGCCCCGCATGGGTGTAAAACGGATCTGTCCGCCTGCCCGGCCAGGTGACAGGTTGCCGCGGCAGAGTGATGCGCTGGGCGGCAAAGCGGGGCAAGCGGGCAAACCCTAAGGGGCACCCAACACTCCTGGGCGAGCCAGGTTTGTCTCGTTAACAACGAATTCAAAGGAGGCGAGCCGAGGTGGCCCGGCTCTGGTGCTGGGAACTTCAAAAACGTTTGGTCGCCCACGTAACCCAGTACCCTGGTCGCTGGAGCCGGGCAGCTGCGCGCAGTGTGCTGCATGCGCTGCTAGAGCACGTGCCACGCTTTGTGAGCATGGGGCCGCTGCAAGGGCCCCGAAGGACCCTCTTCAGAACACAGCCTGTCGTTACACCAACCCCCAGCCGCGGTCTCGGTGCTAAACAAAATGGCTGCGACGGTCCCGCTGCCTTGTGAGGGCGCCTGCGTTCCGCACCCGCCGCAGCCCATGGTACAGCGGCAGCAGCCGCAGCCGGCGGCCGCCCCTCGAGCGCTTCGGCCGGGTGCGCCGCCTGAGCAGCAACCCGGCTGGGAGCAGCAGCGCATGGCTGGGCCGGCGCAGCAGCAACCACAGGCGGAGGCCCAGCCCATGCAGCGCCAGGTGCACCACGCGGCGCAGCAGCTTCCTGCAGCACCGCCGCCGCCGACGGCGCAGGGCAGGGGCCCCCTTCCGAGGCAGCACCCACCTCTCGACAGTTCTGCCGCCATGCTGCAGCGGGTGCAGCAGCAGGCAGCAGACCACCACCGCCAGCTGCTGCTGCTGCTGCAGCTGAGCTGCAACGGGGCGCCGCAGCCACAGGCCCCCTGGGCCCCCACCTTGCTCCTCGCAGCCCATCAGGCTCTGGCGCAGGCTTCCAGGCGCAGGCGCCTGCTGGTCCAGGTGCGTGCGGCGGGGCAGCACCTGCCTGGCCCTACTGCGGCTGCTCGCTCGGGCAGCGCCAGCTTTGCACAGGCTGGCGCGCTGTGCTTATGTCGCTGACCGGTCGCCACACCGTGCCGGCCCCGGCCTCCCTCCTGCCCTGCAGGCACTGGCTGAGCTGGAGCAGCAGGCGGCTGCGCAGTGCGAGCTGGTGCAGGCGCTAATGGCAGACACGGCCCAGCAGCAGCCGCAGCGGGTGGAGCGCCACAACGCCCCCGCTGGGCGCGCACCCGCCAGCATCGACGACGGCGCGGCGCACATGGCACGGTGCAGCATCCCGCGCTGCCACCGCTGCGCGTATGAGCGCCGCTTGGAGCAGCGGCGGTGGGAGCTGCTGCAGGTGCCGGCTGCGGGGAAGCAGGCGCAGGTGCAGGTGCATCAGGTGCCCACCAGGCACGCCGCCGTGCCCTGGACGGCTGCCGGCGCGCAGTACTGGCAGGCAGCGAGCGCGGCGCTGCTAGCCGCGCAGCTCGACAGGCCGCAGCATGGGGGCTTGGGGGTGGAGGTGGAGGTGCATGTGGCCAGGCCTGCAGCCGCAGCCGCGGCGCCGGCTGTGCCTTTGCACCTGCCGCCGCAGCAGCCTTCCCAGCAGGCGGCGCCAAGTCCGGCGCACCAGTATGCGGCGCAGCTGCAGCAGCAGCTCCGGCTGGGCTGGGGGTTGTAGCCGAGCGCGCAGCAGTCCCGGACTGGTGTTGTGGCGCATGCTGGGTAGCTCCCGACTTGCTTGCTCCATTGATTCTCATAACGGCTGTTATGCAAGCATTGACAAAGAAGCGATGGAGCTGCTATGGCATGGTCGAGGCGAGCAGGCTGGAGTGGGCCGGCGGGGCACACGACGGTGGCGGTGAGGCGGCGGTCATGCGCGGTAGGTAGCGGAGCTATGTATTTAGTGTTCTGGGCTGCCCAGGCCTTCAAATGATGATCACAGCGCCGTGTGCTGCCGTTGCGGTTGTGCACAGCATGAGCATCCCGCCTGTGGATGCTGTGCCCTTTGGGGGATGCCCGTGCCCAAAACTCCCGTGGCTTCTGTATCCCCAACCAACAACTCTGAATCCCGTGTAACATCTCTAACACCGCCCTTGCTGGCTGCACGGCTTGAGTGCCAGCCGAGCCGAGCAGGGCCAGACGCAAGACGAAGCCATGAAATTCGGTAGGTTTGGTCCACATGCTCGCTCGGCCATTGGAAGGGACCGCTCAGATAAGGCCCCGCCCTCGCCGGTTTAGGCCGCTTGAACTTGGCTTCTGCGGTGCTGTAGGCCACCTGCTCAAGTCCTTTGAGGCCGACGCAGCGCTGCCCGACACCGTGTGCCTGAATTACAAGGCAAGAACCTCCCGCCGCGCCGCCGCCGCCGCCGCTCAGGGACCAGCTCGTGGGCGCGCTCGCGTTTTGCCCGTCTCCCAGCTGCCGGCTTCCAGCGCCCTTCACTCACGCTGTGCTACGCGCATGCGTTTTCTGGGTGCAGAAGCTGAAAAAGCTGATCAAGTCGCAGACCAAGCACCAGCACGAGGCATCGGCGGCGGAGCCAGCAGACGCAGCAGCAGCAGCAGATGGCGCAGCAGCGCCAGCGGCAGAGAAAACAGCAGCGCCAGCAACAGCTGGCATACCTCCAGCAAGCGACCCAGCGGCGGCGGACGGGGCGGCGGCAATAGAGCTGGCAGGCGGCATTGCAGAGGAGGACCGGGAGTTTGTTGCCACGCTCAACACGGTGTGCTGTCGAGCTCGAAGCAGTGCCGCCCTGTCGATCAGCCCCGTCTGCCCCTGGCTGTTGCCGCCACATGCGCCTGCGCCTGCCCTGTTCCGGCCGCATCCGCCACTTGCCGCTGCATGCACCACGCCCGCCCGCCCGCCTGCCCGCGGCGCCACAGCGCTGTATTGTACCGCTACTGTACCGCAGGACCTGTCCCGCGTCAACTCGTACTTCATGGAGAAGGAGGAGGAGGCGGTGATCCGGCTGCGTGAGCTGGAGGACAGGCTGGAGGCGGCGCGGGAGGGGCTGGACGCCCCCGACCTGGAGCAGCTGCGGAACGAGGTGGGTGCTGGGGCTGAGGTGAAGGCAGGGTGTGGGTGCAAGGGTAGAGGCAGGGACCCAGCTCTGGGAGGGAGGAGCGAAGGACAGGCAGCAGGCAGGGATGCCCCGGGCAGCAGCCCTGCGTCCCGCCTGAAGGTCGGCAGGAGCTGTATCTAGTTCCGAGGTTGGACGCCTGCACACACACACCCACACGCGCACACACACACACACGTGACCACACCCCACCTGCAGCTGGTCGACTTCCACGGCGAGCTGGTGCTCATGCTGCACTGGAGCCTGGTCAACTACGCAGCGGTGGCCAAGATACTGAAGAAGCACGACAAGATGACGGGGTGGGTGGCCGTGCCCACCAGGCGCTGTGGGGCGGCCGCGGCCAGCTGGCGCCGGGGGCAGCGCCAGGCTGTGTGCGTGCGTTCATGCTGTGTTGCATGGGCAGCAGCTGGCAATGCCGGGGGCCCAGCGGCAGGCAGGCAGCGGCAAAGTCCTCGCTCGTCCCGCGTGCGGTGAGCGCCGCCGGCTACCCTCCTGCAGGTCGCGCCTCCGTGCCCCCGTGCTGGCCAGCGTGCTGCACCAGGTGGGGCGCCCGCTGCTCGTCCGTCCCTCTGGCGCTGGCCGCTGCCAAAGCCGGGGCTACGCGGGCGCTCCCGCCCGTCGCCCAGCTGCTGTGGTGCCGACCGCTGGTCCTTGAGGGATTGCCCGCCCTTCCCACCCACCACCACCATCCGCTGCCCTGCTCCCGCCCGCAGCCCTTCCTCAGCACAGAGAGCATCAGCCAGCTGGTGAAGGAGGCGGAGCGGCACGTGCAGGAGCTGTCGCACATGTACGGCAAGGGGACCAGAGCAGGTGGGTGGGGCCCGCCAGCGGGCGCAGGCGCCCCGGCCCGGTGGCGCTGACGTGGCGGCGCCCGGCGGAGGCTGCTCGGCGCTCCCCAGCAGCTGCTGCAGCGCCGGCCTGCCGCATGCCGAGCCTGCGCACACCCCTGCAGCCCACGTGTGCTGCCCTGCCTGGCACCCTCCCGCCGCGCCCCTTCCCCACACGCCGTGCAGAGCACTCGGGGGACGGCGACTCGAGCGCGGGGGCGGCGTCCCGGGACGGCGGCGGCGACCCCGAGGCGGCGGCGGGGGCCATGGGGGAGAGCCACGTGGCCATCTACAAGCGCACGCGTGCGGCGCTCAACATGGTGAAGGAGATGCAGGCGAGTGGTGGGCGCGGGCCGGGTGGTGGCCTCGCGCAGTGGCGGCAGCACCACCAGCAGCACCACTGGCAGCACCACCAGGGACGTTGCCACCAACGAGCGAGGGCGCGTGGCCTCCAGCCCTGGGCAATGCTCTGCGCGCGACGGCAGCTGGTGCCCCCTGCGTGGCAGCCAGCACAGCTGCGTGCTGCCCAGCCCAGGGAAGCGGGGCTTGTGCCGACTGCTGCCTGCCGCCGCTATGCCTGCCTGCAGGAGGGGGCCAGCACGCCCAGCACGCTGCTGCCGCCGTCCGCCGCCAACTCCGACGCGGCGCCTGACGGCAAGAAGCAGCGCACGGGCGGCAAGGCCAAGCGGCAGGCCGCGTCGCCGTCGCTTGACGACTCGGTGCCCTGAGCAGGCCCGGCTGTCCGGCCGCATTTGTTGGCGGCCCTTTGCACGACGCAGTCGCCTGAGCGGCGGCCACGTCATCGCCGGCAGCCCGCAGTCCACCCCCATTGCCTGCACATGTAAACCTGCTGCCGCCGCTGCGCCTCTGTTCTGCTGTTTTCTGGCCGCTGTCGGGCTGCTGGCCCTTTTCTGCTTGTGCGGTTGCACACACCGGTCTCCACCGTCTCTGTCCTTTTTGTGGAGCGCCTGATTTGCACCTTTAAATTAAAACTAATGCCCTTGCACATTTATTCACTCTTCCCCATGGACTTGTCACAAGAGAGTTGTGTGGCCGCTGCTGTGCACGAGGATGGGGGGGGGGGGGGGCGCTGCCGCCATCTGGCAGCTGCCGCAGTGCACTGGTGAGCCCAGGGCGGGGCTGCTCTCGGCTGCGCAGCCCGGCCTTCTGAGCACAAAGCTGCGCACCGCGTGGGTGCCGAAAACGCAACACACCCGTAGATTCCCCTCGACATGACCAGGAGGGGGAGGACAGGCCCGATACCGCCCCTGCGTTCTACGCGCCAGCCGACAAGCTCAGTAGTCGGCATGCCACTAGGAGGAGGATCAGGCAAAGGCTTGCTGCGCGTGTTTAAGAGACCAGTCCGGGAGTTTTCCAGCCCTCGCAAGTCGGCCATTTGTGTTTGTTTGCTTTGGCTCGCCGCCATGAAACATGGCTAGGGTGTTCCTGCTGCTGCTGCTGGGCTGCTGGTCGGCAGTGGGGGCGTTGTCCGACTCCCCGTCGCCTGGCTTTCCCGCACCAGCCCAGGTGTACTCGTCGCAAGAACAGGCCGGCGGTGGCACCGCGGTGCTGGCCCCGAATGCCGCAGTGCAGCAGGGGGCGGCGCCGCTGGGCCCGGCGCTGGGGCGGGTGCCGCAGCCAGAGGGCTGCTCTGCGGCCTGCCGCTCCCAACCAGCCTGCGCCTGGTTTGAGTACTGCCAGGCCCCGGTGAGTGGCCAGTCCAGCAGCTCTGGCAGCTGGCCGGAGAGCCTGGCCAGCACCCACTGCCTGCCGTTGCCGCCGCTGCTCGGCTCAGTCAAGGTCGCTCACTCGCATGCCGGAAGCTCGGCCACCGCTTCCTGCTGTACTGACTGTTGCATGTGCGCTGCCTGCCTTCTGCTGTGTCTCTTGCAAGTCTGACATGCACGCGGCTGCTGCTCTGGTGGCTGCTCTCCCTGCCGCCGCCGCAGGCTGGGTGCTCGCATGGCGGGGAGCAGCTTGCATACCTGGGCTGCCGCCTATATGCCCCAACATGCAACGAGACGGTGCAGCTAGAGCCCGCACAAGGGCTGGTGGCAGGTGCGCCGCCGCTGGCGCCATCAACGTGCCGCGGAGGCAGCAACAGCTCAGCTGGCAGGCAGCCGCCTGCCGGGCAGCACCCACGTGCCCGCCACCGCAGACCGCGCGGCGCTTCTGCTGTGCTTGCCGCCGCTGCCAGCTCCGCTGACGCCCTGCCACTCCCCTGCACCCCGCGCAGGCTTCCCTGCGCGCATGCCGCCCCTCACCGTCAGCGGTTTTGCCACAGTGGCGGGGCAGGGCATCGCAGGGGCAGACATGGCCTGCTCCGCGTCGCTGCTGCCCGGCGCCTGTGCGCTGCGCAGCATAGAGGAGGCGCAGGTTGTGTGCCTGGCAGCGCCCGAGTGCCGAGCCATCACAGTCTTTCTAAACGGTGGGCAAGGGCGGTGCGAAAGGCGCGGGGCTGCAGCTGCGGCGCAGCTTTGCTGGGGGTGTGATGGCAAAGCACGAGCGGCGCTGTAGCTCTTTTGGCTGCCCACCCATCTGCCGGCGTGTCTGCCGGCGCGACAAGTGCAGGCACCGACGGCTGCTCTGGCAAGCCGCTGAGCCTGCTGAAGACTGAGGGGCTGGCCCCGGGCAATGCCTTTGTGGCTTCCGGCGTAGCTACCCTGCAGCTGCCTGAGACGCGACAGGCGGTGCGCTGCTGTGGCGCTGCTACTGAGTTTTGGGCTCAGAGGAGGGTGTGCATGCATGGCATGAGCAGGCCTGCTGCTCATCTCCCCAGGGCAACAACCAGCGGCGGCGCTGCGGCCAACCCGCTGGTCCCCGCTGCCACTTGTATCTGCCTCGCAGGTGAGCACTCAGCTGACGGACAGCGAGGGGCAGGTGCTGCTGCCCAGCGAACCCGAGCTGGCGGCGGCGGCCAACGCCAGCGCCAGCGCGGCGAGCGCCGCCGCCGCCTGGCTGGGCTGCCTGCTGGGCAAGGGCACGATTATGGCGGGGCGGGTGCTGCAAGTGCTGAGCGGCGTGGCGAGCGCCGAGGCGTGCTGTCGGCGCTGCCGGCAGCAGTACAGTACCGCTGGAGGATGTACGGTGTGGAACTACTGCGGCACCCAGGGTGGATGCAGGTGCGCTTGGGGGCACTTGCAGGACAGCCTGTGGGTCCGCTGCGGATGCCACGGTGTGCTGTCAGCGTCACTTGTCCCTCCGCTTCCCCTGCCCTGAGCTTCCCTCCCGCGGCTGCCTGACCTGCCATGTCTGTATCATGAACTGCAGGTACCAGGGCCCCCAGATGGCGCAGAACCTGAGCCTGCAGGCTGGCCAGTGTGAGTGTGGCGGGCCAGGGAAAGCAGCAGCAGCAGCAACAGCAGCTTGTTGCAACCGCCGCATGTGGCACATGACGTTCCCAGCCTCGCTCCAAGCCTGCCGGCTCCTGCAGCTGCTGCTCATGTGCTGCTGCGCCACCCGTACTGCCTGCATGTGCCGCAGGCGAGCTGCGGTACCAGGAGATAGTACTGCCCGCCGTCGGCTGGCCCCCCGCCCTGCTGGCGCACGGCCCCTCGGTGCCTGTTGTCGGCGGCGCCCCACTGGCGGTGGCTGCCTCTCAGCCGCCCGCCGGCTTCCAGCAGCTTCCGGGTCGCGGCTTGGCGGCGAGCAGCAGCGCCGCAGACTCACCCTGCGGCGCCTCCTCCCTGGCCGGCCAGGCGCAGTGCTGGCTCAACGTGAGCTCAGTGGCGGCCATGGCTGCGTGGTGCCAGCAGGACTACCGGTGCGCCGCATTCGTGCCCAGCCAAGGTGAGCCTGGCTGTGGGGTGTGGCTCAGGGGGGTGAGAAGCGTTGGTGGGAAGCATGTGGCGGGGGAAGCTGGACGCTTTGCAGGCTGAGAGCGGGGGATGCCGCGCTGCAGCCGGATTGGCCCCTAGGGTGCGGCTCTGCCTCGCAGTGCATCACCCAACTCGGGCCGAGCCCCTGCTGCCCTTCCCCGCCTGCCTGCAGGCGAGGGCCCGGCTGCAGCCCCGGAGCGGGCCGTGTTTCAGCAGGAGTCCTCCGCCGCCTCCCGCCTCCTGGTACCGACAAGTACCATGTACCTTAAGCAGGAGCTCTACTCGGCGCCGGCGGCAGGCAACGCCACGGCCAGCAGCGGCAGCAGCAGCAGCGGCAGCGGCGGCGGCAGCAGCGGCACCGGCCTGTCGGCCGGCGCAGTGGTGGGGATCGCAGTGGCCTCGGCGGCGGCGGGAGTGGCGGCGGGGCTGGGGCTGTTTCTGCTGCTGCGGGCGCGCGCGCGGCGGCGGCTGGGGGCTGGAGAGTCTGGCAAGGCTCTGGAAGGGGGTGCCGCCTCGGCCGAGCTGGAAAGTAGCCTGGGCCAGGCGGCCCAGAAGAGCAGCAGCGGGGACAGCTTCCCGCCCTGCCCTCCCGCCGCCGCCGCCGCCAGCCAGCGCCAGCAGCAGCAGCAGCAGGCGGCGGAGCTGCGGGACTGGCAGGTGCGGCAGCTGCGGCAGCAGATCCCGCCCCAGGTGCGCCAGATGGAGCAGCAGCAGCAGCAGTACGAGCAGCAGCAGTACCAGCAGCAGGGAGGGCTGTACCGCAGCGTCACCTTCTCAATGCCCGGCTCCGCCTCCCCGCCTGAGGCGGCAGCGGCAGCGGCACGCCTGTCAGGGGATGGCCTGCTGTCGCCCTTTGCCGCCGCCAGCGGCGGCTTCGGCAGCGACGGCGGCACGCCATCGCTCAGCCGCGCCGCCAGCGTGCCTCAGCCCGAGGCATCGGCTGGGGAGCTCGCAGACGGGCTGGGGCTGATGCCCGGCGGCAGCGGCAGCGGCAGCGGCAGCGGCAGCGGCCTGGTGCGGCAGGGCAGCCTGCCCGGCGGCGGCATCGGCGCCAGCCGCGCCGGCAGCGCGCCGCCGCTGCCGCCCGCAGCGCGCAGCGGCAGCGTGCCGTCCGCCGGCCTGCCGCCGCCG